TTCGGAAATCTATCGGGTGAAAAATATAATCTGCAGAAAAACTCAAAATATGGGTCCATGACTGGCTACCAAGCCTGCTTACCCCCAAAACTCATGTACACACACACACACACACACACACACACACACACACACACACACACATACATCGCAGCTAAATAAATAAAAGCACACCATTATTTTCATTTACTTTCATCTTCTATTTTGAGAGTCTCTGTAGACTGGCTACACGGCAATTCTCCTGTCGTAGTTTCCTAAGTGTTGAGATTACAGGTGTGAGCCACTACATCTAGTTTAGAACTCTTTTCTTTCCTTCTTTTTGGTTTTTCAAGACAAGAGTTTCTCTGTGTAGCCCTGGCTGTCTTAGAACTTGCTCTGTAGACCAGGTTGGCCTTGAACTCACAGAGATCCACCTGCCTCTGCCTTCCAAGTGCTGGGATTAAAGTTGTGCACCACCACTGTCCAGCAAGACTACTTATTTTATAAACATTTATGGAAACCTGTGAAAGACAGGGCAAGCAAAAATTCACAAACCTATGAAAGTCTCAGGAAGGGAGTTCATGGGACTCTGGCTGACCACCAGACAAGGCTTTAGCTTTATTAAACAAGAGGGTGGAGGTAGAGAGAGAGCGCAAGCGCATACATTGTTTATGTAACTAAAATGTGGAAACGAGAAAATATTCAATGTTTGCTTGGTAACTTTTCAAATAGCCTTGTAACCAACCCTCTCCTACACCAAGACAAAGACACTTGGCTCATTCCATCAGCTAAAGACAGAAAAATAAGCAAAAAACCAAAACAACAAACCAAAACAAAACCAACAAAATGTAAAGACGTTACTTTTCCCTAGAAGTTTACCAGTTTTATGTGTAGGTCTTGAATCCCACCAAGTTAACACTAAGGAGTCAAGGTTACTTTCGTCCCTTCCAAGGTGACTTTCTCTAATGAGTCAACACTTGGATACATCACTTTTGGAATTTATTCTGCGCCCCTGTCCCTTTCTTGAGACGGTCTCACAATGCATTGCAGGCCGGCCTTATTCGCTCCTGGACTGCCTTAACTGCCATAGCGCTGGATTCTAGGCACTCAGATTGTTCCACATCATAAACATAACGGAAATAAAGGGATGGAAAAAGGCCGACCGAGGTCTAGTCAACTGCCATTTCTCTCCTGTTGAAGCATTCACAGGACTTTCATGTGAATTACAGAGATTTGTTTGATACACAGCAACCCATGGACAAATCATATTTGGTCAAGATAGACTGACTCATCCTTTTGTTTTTGTGGTTCTGGGGTTTAAACCCAGGCTTCAGGCATGCTAGGTGAAATACTCTACCACATATATCTCCAACTGTTTGGTTTTTCTGAGACAAGGTTTTGCTATGCAGCCCAGGATGGTTTCCAAATCCTCTTGCCTCAGCATCCTCGGAGTTCTAGCACTCCAGGCTAGCGCACTGACCCTTCCAGTATAAACGCCTCCTAGGTCTGATTTGCTAACACATGTTAATTTTTGTACTTCTTTTTTTAAAATTAACTCATTTATTTTAGGTGCATTGGTGTTTTGCCTGTATGTACGTCTGTGTGAGGGTGTTGGGTCCCCTGGAACTGGAGTTACAGACAACTGTGAGCTGCCAGATGGGTCCTGGGAATTGAACCTGGGTCCTGTGGAAGAGCAGCCAGTGCTCTTAACTGTTGAGCCATCTCTCCAGTCCCTGAACTTCTTTTTGAGACACTGTCTAATTCATCCCAAGTTGGTCTAGAACTACAGAGCCATGGATGACCTTGAACTTCAGTTCCTTCTGTGTCTACTTCTTAAGCATGTGTGTGTGTGTGTGTGTGTGTGTGTGTTTTATTTTATTTTATTTTATTTTTTTAAGATTTATTATGTATACAGTATTCTGTCTGCATGCCAGAAGAGGGCATCAAATCCCATTATAGATGGTTGTGAGCCACCATGTGGGTGCTGGGAATTGAACTCAGGACCTCTGGAAGAGCAGCTAGTGCTCTTAACCTCTGAGCCATCTCTCCAGCCCGTGTGTGTGTTTTAAAGACAGGGTCTCACTGTATTGCTCAGGCTGAACTCCCTGTATGCATCAGACGCTGGTTTGGAACTTGAGATCCTCCCACTTCTGGCTTTCTAATGCTTCTAAACTGCCACCGTGTAATGCAGTCCAGTGTCTGCGCTGAACATTAACACATTCAGCTTCCTTTTTCTTTTTGCGATAGTGTCTCACTGCGTAGCCCTGGCTGTCCTGGAACTCTCTCTATTGAGACCAGGCTGGCCCCGAACTCACAAGATACCTGCCTGCCTCTGCCTCCCTAGCGCTGGGATTAAACGTTAGCAGCATCCTGTCTAGCCTGGCTCCAACACTATAACATTTATTTGAATAGCATTTACATTACACAGTCTTAAGTAAGCTACAGATGATTTAAGCATGGATTATAGGCGTATACTACCCATCCTTAATCCCAACTCCCCTGCACTAAATTATTCAGAGAAACTGAAGACCTTTGTAAAAAAAGCCTAGCTCTTGAAGTTGTTTTTGTAAAAAAGGCAAACAAAATTTACATATCTTTACATTCGTAAACAGGGGAGGGGCTCAGGGGCACTCCCTTTTTGGCTTTGGATTGGAAATCTTTTCACATTCAGAGTCCAGTCAAGGGATTGCAAGAGCTGGGAGGCTATCTGCATAACAAAATAGCCCTGGGACATCCGGTCTAACCTTCACTCACTCGGGTTCCCTTCCCGTCTAAAACACCAAGGATAGTCATTTCTATACTTCTCTATAAACCTGAATTTCTAGTCTGCCATTGAATTTTATACCTGTAGCCAGGAAAAAACATTTTGTTTTGTTTTTTTTTTTCCGGTCTATCAATCGTTCACTTATTTTGTCCCTTCAGAGGGACAAAAAGAAATTTATTCCCCTTCCCAAGTGCTGTGTGGAGATACTTAAGAAAAAGAAAAAAGACGCACAATATCTAGTGCGCGACAAGAAATTGTAATAAAATGACCTGCTCTATAGATGGACAATGCAGGACCAGGGGATAGTCTATCCTGGAAGAGTCCTGCGCAGGTCGACTGCACTTAGGATCTCCGGGCGCCCGCGGCCAAGGCACGCCCCTTCCGCTTTCAGGACGTGTGGAATGCGTTCGGCAAGGGAATGGCTCACCCCAAAACCGGATACTCGGTAATTTGTTTTTCCGGCACCAAAAAACGACCTATCCTCGCACTCTTTTAAATAAACACCTCCTCCTTTGCAAAAGCAAGCAAGTAATCCAGGAAAACGCGATGATCGAGGATAGCAGTTTTCCTCAAGCAATCGCACCAGCCTAGAATACATTTTTTTCCTCCTTTCTGCTCCCCTCTCGTCGAGTGAGCAGTGAGTTGCTCCGGGGAAAAAAAAAAAAAAAAAAAAGAAACCGGAAATATGCTCCTGCAAGCGGCAGAAATGCAAATGTGGAGCCAAACAATAACAGGGTCGGCGGGCCTTTCAGACCAAGAGATCTCAGTCGGTTCCCAGGGCAAACACTTCTCATTGTCAAGACTAACAGTTTTTTGGTTTTTTTTTTTGGATTTTCTTCGACTAGTAGGGTTGGGGTGCAGCTGGAAAAAAAAAAATCACTCCCGGGACAAAGGTCCGGAAGTTGCGGGACCGTAGCAGCTCTGGCTTCCCGAGTCACCCCGATTTAATTAAGGAATGGAGCCCGAGGTTTCAGTAGGATGCTGTGGGCTCTAAAGTCTTAAGCTATGGATCTCGAATCACGGTGCTTCGTGCATGTTATTTCTGGGGCTTCCACCGCCCACGCAGCGACTAGATAGGTGTGCATCTGGGGTGGCAGAGAGAAAACCCCTTAGGCCGTCTCAGCGCCCCCCAAATCCCCTATCTACTTTTCAGGTGTTCGGCTGGTTGGTCCTAGGAGCCCCATCATCTACATCATCTCCAACACTGCAGTCCTGTTCATCCCGCCAGCCAAACTCTCATTGCCCCCACCTCGCCCAAGCCGGCTGAGTTCCCCCCCCACTTCCCCACCCCCAAACCCCACGATTCTCTCTAGCCTCAGATTATGCGAACCGAGAGCCGGTGACTCAGAGAGGACTCATCAGGCTCAGTCGGTAACTTACCGGGTCTCCAGGGGAGCGTGTCACTCTGCTGGAAAGGAGGTTCCGGACCCGGATGCCAGGTGCCCCCAGATCCCGGTAGCTACCTGCAGCCAGTGGCACTGGACTCAAGCACAAAACTTTTAGTATGAGCACATGGGAGGGGAAAGTCCCTATCCCAGCAACCCCCGCGAGACTGCTGGCAAAAAGCTGGATAGTCGCCATGACAAGTAAGGGCAAGTCATTCTGTGGGTGGAGGGTAAGAAACGGAATGGGGGGCAGCTGCTGAGTCAGGATTCTCCCTGCGTTGTTGCTATCCATAGGAACGCGTTGTGAAAAGTACTCTAAGACAGAGTTGCGAGGACAAAAATCGGTGGAAACCGTTTCGGGAGAGCGCGGAACACTGCTCTTTCCTATCTAGCTGGATAGTCGTAATCGTCTTCTTTTTGGCTTTTTGAAACAGGGTCTTTGTAGCTAGAGCTGGCCTCGAACTCGCGGCAATCCAACTGCTTTAGCCTCCCAAGTACAGGGATGAGCCAACACCGGCAGCTAAGTTGTGTTTTTTTTTTTTTTTTTTTTTTTTTTTTTGTTTTGTTTTTCCTCATCAGCTAAAATGTCACTTAGAAAGGCTTTTCTTAATATCTCAATCTAATATGTTCTCCAAGAACTTCCTATCACACCATCTTGTTTAATTTCCTGTACAGTCCTTATCAGTATCTGTGAAGATTGTTTTCACAGCCTTCAATTGCACAGCCACGACAATTTTAGGGGGATAGAGAACTTGCAAACTAAGAAGAGAGGGAAGGTAAAGGGAGGCAGAGGGGATGGGAGAGAAAGGGAGAATGAAGGGAGGGAGATGGGGAGAAGAGGGAGAGAGGGAGAAAGGAAACCTTATTTTGAGGTTGCCCGACTCCAAACAAGAGCCAAGGGGGCCAAAAACTGTAGACATTAAGCGTCCTCTGCAGGTCAGGGAGGGTAGGTACCTTAAGAATGACCCCAGCGGACGGTAGGGGGCGCGCGTGTGCTTTCCGCTACGGCCGAGAGTGAAGACTACAACTCCCAGAAGCCTCTAGGAATACTCTGGTACTTGAGGGTTGGGCCAACTCGTTCCTTCCCGCCACACCGCTCAGAACCTAACCGGGATGCAAAGAGCCAATGGGAAGGTGGCCCGACTCCCGCGAGAGCAAGGAGCACTAGCGGCGCGTAGCGCCCCCGGGGGCTTTGCTTTCAGCATTGGTTTCCCGGTGTTTGCCCTGGGTTGCGGGGTTCGGCTTACTCTTCCCGGAAGAGGAAGGCAGGCGCGGTGGGTCTGTGCGGTTCTGCGCCCGGATCCCTGGGAATTTTAATGCAGCCTGGCCTCAGCAGCTGGTAGCCGGCGCAACGAGGCTTGCCCGGCCCCTGTCCTTCCTGCTTGTTCTACAGAATGAAGACGTCGGAGGAGCGACTCTTAGCTCCGGACAGCCTCCCTTCTGATCAGGCCCCAGCTCCAGTGCCCCAAGGTTCCCCTGTGGATAGAAATACAGACTCTGAACTGGTGCCACCGCCATGCCGTGGAGATGACCAATCCCAGATAGCCACAGATTCTGTGGCTGGCTCGGTTCCGTCCCAGGAGCCGCAACAAGGGGACCCAGTTCCTCTCTCCGCTCCCCTGGAGGAAGAGTTTAATACTCCCGGTGTGTTGAGTCCTCGAATCGAGGAGCAAGAACTTTCTGAAAGTGCGAGCCTTACGGTAGAAGAGACGAATCAGCCTGAGTTGGAGTCAGGAGAAGCCGTGGAAGGCGTGTCTGATGAACCCGGTCCTGTGGATGAGGGAGACACGTAAGTGACTGGATCTGAGGAGCGCGGACGTGTGACCACGACAGCCACCTCTCCTCAGCCCCGTTCCAGGCCTGTTTTGCTCTGACGACCCGTTTGTTTCTCCATCTCCCTTCCAGCTTTTGGAACTACAGCTTCTCGCAGGTACCCCGATACCTCAGTGGTTCCTGGTCCGAGTTCAGCACTCGCTCCGAGAACTTCCTGAAAGGTTGTAAGTGGTAAGTACGACGGGGTAGGGAGGTAGCCACTTTCAGGATTTTCATCTGAAAACTCACCTATCGTTGGCCCGTCGTGGTGGGACAGTCCTGTAATCTCAACATCTGGGAAATAGAGGGAGGACTGGGAGTTCGAGTCTTGCCTTGTCCACAGAGTGAGACCCTGTCTTAAAGTAAAAACAAAAACTAGGCTGGACGGTGGTGGCGCATGCTTTTAATCCCAGCACTTGGGAAGCAGAGGCAGGAGGGTCTCTTGAGTTCAGTGGGCAGCCTGGTCTACAGAGCGAGATCCAGGACAGCTAGGGCTACACGGAGAAACCCTATCTCAAGGTAAAACAACAGCAACAACAAAAACCCAGCCCCCAAAAGCCCAGACAAAAAAATCCCAAACTTACCTGGAGGTGGTTAAGGAGTAATAGAATACTGGTGAGTGTTTTCCTTTGCTCTCTCGATCTTTCCTTCCATTTCTAGTACTGTGGATATAGCCTCGGGTATCCAGCATGCTAGCCTGGACCTCACCACTAAGCTACATCCTAGCCTTTTTTTTTTTTTTTTTTTTTTTACTTTGCCAAGTTGCCCAGACTGGCCTGGAACTTGAGATCCTCTGCCTCAGCCTCTCAAGTAGCCGGGGTACTTGAGATGTGTGCCACCACCATCTGCATGAGCTCAAGGTTTACCTAGGACTGGTTGGTGTCTTCTCAAGGGCGTATGTTCTAAGATAGCCCTAGCCCTACATTTGGAAATGACAGGTCTGTCCAATTTTCTAATTTTCCTGTATTTTTAGGGCCCCTGACGGTTCCTGTATCTTGACCAATAGTGCTGATAACGTCCTACGGATTTACAACCTGCCCCCAGAACTGTACAGTGAAGGAGAGCCGGTGGAATATGCAGAAATGGTAAGGGGAGGGCCTGACTCCATCCCTTTGCCAGCTCTACACATTAGAGCCCTTCCTGCAAATGAAGACAGTGTGTTCATGGGTTACCTGTTCATAGACAGGGCATTCCTTCACCACGGATGTCCACATGTATCGTTTTCTGCCTTGAATTCTGAAGTCATTTAAAGAGAAGTCAGTCCCTTTTTTTTAATCAGGAGCCTGTTTTCTGTGGTCAAGTAATGGACTTCTGTGACAGTGTGTGTCTAGGTGTTTATTAGATGGTTTTCAACGTGTGCTGGGGAGGTGGCTCAGTTGGTTGGTGCTTGCCTAGCATCGCGCACAAAGCGCATGTTCAAGCTCCCACACTGCTTAAACTGGGTGTGTTGGCTTACTCTCGTAGTCTCAGCACTCTGGAGGTGGGGGCAGGAGGATAAGTTCGAGGTCCTCTCAACTGCATAGAAAGTTCTAGGCCACTGTGTTTGGTTGGGCTCTTACAGAAGTGAAAGATAGATGATGATTTGGTTGTGTTTTTTGTGTAGTGTGCAAATGTGTATCAATGAACAAGATCATTGTACATTAAAACAAATGCTCTGAAAGCCCTGTGCAGGAGATTACTGCAGCCTGGGATCTACAGTATAGCCTGGGCAGCATCTCGAGACTCCATATCTGCCTGTTTGCTTTCTCATTCTTTCTCTCCTTTTAAGATTTATTTTTAATTTTTGTTTTTGTTTCTTTTCTTTAAAAATTATTTTATGTGCATTGATGTGAAGGTATCAGATACCCTGGAACTGGAGTCACAGACAGTTGTGAGCTGCCATGTGGGTGCTGAGGATTGAACCTGGCCATCTCTCCAGCCCTGTTTTTGTTTGTTTCTTTTCTTTTCTTTTCTTTTGGTTTTTCGAGATAGGGTTTCTCTGTGTAGTTCTGGAACTTGATTTGTAGTCCAGGCTGGCCTCGAACTCACAGAAATCCACCTGCCTCTGCCTCCTGAGTGCTAAGATTAAAGGCGTGTGCCACCACCACCCAGCCTTATTTTTAATTTCTGTGTGTGTGTGTGCGTGTGTGCGTGTGTGCTGGTGCCTTCAGTGCTGAAGAGTGGGGAAAGAAGGCGAATCTCGAAGAAGTGAGAATGGAAGGTTCAGACTGGCATCCATCAGCTTGGATCTGGATGTTGGGGAGTCTGATCTCGGGCAGTTTATTCCCAACAAATTTAAACACAGTATAACTTGGGAAAAGTTTCCTGGTGTAATACAATCCCTGGGGCACAAGTCAGCATAATTGAAACTTGACTCAGGGTACATGTCATTTCTTCCTAGAAGGTGGCTTCTTGAGATAGGCTACCTGTACTAGCTTAAGGGCCTAAGCATGGGTCTGGCCTTATCTTGATCGTACAGATAGCACAGAGGTCATTTGGGCTGTTATCCATCTCTGGTCCTTGTTGTAGGAGTTTAGGGCAGCCCCTGGCTATACAGATAATGAATGTAAGGGTCATTTGAACTGTAAGGTATCTCTGGTCCTTGTGGGAGGTTGGGGAGCCCCTGGCTGTTAGGGGTCAGTTAGACTATTAGGTATCTCCAGTTCTGGTTGTAGGAACTTGATATAGCCTGGCCCAACAGATAACACAGATGGCAGATCACCTCCATCCCCAGCTTTCTGGATAGAGGAACATCCTGTGTGCTTAACATCCCTGGTTTCTCTGGAGATGTGTGGGAGCAAGGACCTTCGTGCTCCCTACACAGAGCCAAGCTGGAGTTACAAGTGGATGTGAGCCATCTGACATTGATGCTGGGAACCGAACCTGGGTCCTCTCAACCTCTGAGCCATCTTTCCAGCTACCTCTCTGTGTCCTGAGACAGGTCTTATTCTGGCTTCTAACTCATGACGTAGCTGAGGCTAGCCTTGAACTCCTGGATTTCCTCCCTCCTTTTAACCTTTCAGTTGTTGGAACTGCAGGCATGTGTTGTTAAACACAGGGAAAACTTTTTTTTTTTTTGAGATTCAAAAATTTTTTTTAATGTGTATGAGTTGTTTTGCCTGAATGTATTTCTGTGTTCCATATGCATGCAGTGCCTGTGGAAGCCAGAAGAGGGCGTTAGATCCCCTGGGACTAGAGTTACAGACAGTTTTTAGTTGTCATGTGGGTTCTGGGAATTGAACCCCAGCTCCTCTGAAAGAGTAGCCAGTGCTCTTAACTGCTGAGCCGCTCCACCTCCCACTCCACCCGCTTTGAGACAAGATCTTATGTAGAGAAGGCTGGCCTCAATCTCAAAGTAGCTGTATAGCCAAGGATGGCCCCGAGTCCCTCATCTGCTGCTCTGCCTGTGAGTGCTGGGGCTGCAGGAATGTATCACCACGTTTGCCCGAGGCCTGTCTCTTTAAGAAATAGGAAAATAAATAACTGCTTTGAAGGTGAAAAACAGGAAAAGGAGAGAGTAACCAGGAGATAGCGCTTCCGGCGGGGGGTATAGCTCTGCGCTCTTGTGTTTACCTAGTATTCGAGGGGCCCTTGGTTCACCCCAACACTGCAGAGAACAGCAAAACCCTATGGAAGTGGGATGTCATGGAGCAGTCCTTTAATCCCGCACTCAAGGCAGAGTCTGAAGAGTCTCTTGTGAGTGTGAGGCCAGCCTGATCTACAAAGCGTGTTCCAGGCTAGCCAGGGCTACCTAGGAAGACCCTGTCTCAAAACACAAAACCAAACAACCGTGCAGAGGCTAGCACTTTAGAAGTATAGGTCAGGGAGGGGCGGATAGAAAAGGAGCAGTTTTTTGTGAGACCTGAAGAGTGATAATGCTAAATGATGTGAACAGACTTCCAGGAAGAGGCGACAGCACCACAGAGACCCCGAGCTGGGGAAGCTTTGTGTTCACAGAATAGAGGGAATGCAGGGGTGGGGTGATGGGAAGGCAATGGGCAGCCGTATAATGCGGGGTCCTGTGGGAAGGCCTCTTGGGGTCTATTTGAGAGTTTCAAACCAGTGATGAGTGGACTCTGGGAGAGCGAAAGTACAAGAGTGACACCGAAGGGGTGTGTGTGTGTGTGTGTGTGCGTGTGTGTGTGTGTGTGTGTGTGTGTGTGTGTGTGTGTGTCTTTTGAGGCAGTCTTTTCTTAAAGACTTACTTTAAATTTGTATGTGTATGTGTGTCTGTAACGTGTGTTGACTACCCTTGGAGGTTAGAAGAGGGAACTGGAGTCATGGTCAGCTCAAACTTTTGTCCTCTGGTGGCACACACCTTTAATCCCAGTCCTCAGGAGTTTGAGGCCAGCCTGGTCTACATAGTGAGTCCTAGGACAGCTAGGGCTACAAAGTGAGACCCTGTCTCCAAAAACAAATCTAACAACAACAACCCCCCCCCCCCCATAAAAAAGGGTCCTCTGGAAGAGCAGTACCTACCTGCTCTTTTGTTTTGTTTTGGTTTGAGACAGTCTTTCTCTGTGTAGCTCTAGCTGCCCTGGGAATCGCTCTGTAGACCAGGCTGGTCTCGAACTCACAGAGATCCATCTGGCTCTGCCTTCCGAGTGCTGGGGTTAAAGGCTGAGCCACCACCACCCAGTCATCTACCTGCTCTTCACTGCTGAGACTTCTCTCCAGCCCCCGAGAGAGGTGACATCAGTACACAGAAGGAAGAGTCCTGACTAATGGTGCTGAGAGATGGAGCTAGGTGGCTTAGGGGGTGACCACAAAGAACACGAGTGACCCAGACAAGAGTACCTTCGGAGGAGAGGTGGAGTTGGGTAAAACGTGTAAAGGAAAAAGAATGGGGCAGTTCTTTGGACTTGTGCTGTGAAAGGGGAGCCAAGAAATTTTTTTGATCGCTGATCTACATTTCCAAAGCAAGAAATGGATCAGTGAGAAGAGGGAATGTGGGCCAAGGAAGGGCTTGTTAGGTAGTGGTGTGTCAGGGGTGACCCAGCAGAGAGGGAGGGATAACAGAGACTGTGTCCTTTTTAAGGACAAGATTTAGCCTGACATGCTGGCCCATGGTTTGTAATCCCAGCCCAGGGAGCCTGCCTAGTCTAGTCACATAGTAAGTTCTGGGATATCTTCCATTAATAACTAACACCCTGCTCCCCATTATCAACTAACACCCTGCCCCAAACAACTGACAGGAGAAGATTTCTTTCTGGGCATTGTGTGCACCTGTAATCCCAACATTTGGGAGGCTGAGGGAGGGGAACTGGGAGTTCAGGGAGACAGGTGATATGCCAAGACCCTGTCTCACAAAACCAGGGGCTCTGGTATAGCTTGCTGGCGTAAGTGCTTGCCTGTGCACACAGGCCCTGGGTTTGACTTCCAGCACTGCCGGGAAAACTGCCTTCTCTTCTCACAGTTTCAGAGGCCGGGAAGTCTAAGATGAGGCATCACGTAGCAGGATTGTGGAAACAGTCTCTCCCACCACCATGCCCCTGTTGACCCCTACCACTAAGCTAAACTGTCAGCCTCTTCCTTGTACTGTATATAGCCACAGTCTTATCAGGGGACCCCAAACTCATGACCTTATTTAATCCTATTTCTTTTTCTTTTTTTTTGAGACAGGGTCTTACTATGTAGCCTTGGCTGGCGTGAAACTGTCTATGTAGACCATGTAACGTGTATGGATGTTTTGCCTGTATGTGTCTATATACCACATGTGTGCCTGGTGCCTCTGTGCACCAGAAGGGCATTGGACCTGGTTACAGATGGTTGTGATCTGCCATGTGGGTACTGGAAATCCAGCCTGGGCCCTCTAGAAGAGCAGACAGTGCTCTTGATCAACAAGCCATCTCTGTAGCTCCTTTTTTTATGTTTTTGAGATAGGGTCTTACTATGGAGCCCTGGCTGGAACTCACTATGTAGACCAGATTGGCCTCAGACTCACAGAGATGGTCCTTTGTCTGCTACCGATTGTCAGCTTCCCCCCTCCCCATCCCCCACATAAGGTCATATCCCTAGACTGTCCTTGAACTTCATAAATAGCTGAGGATGACTTTGAACTCCTGATCCTGCTTGTAAATGTGTGTTTAAAAAACAAAACAAAATA